ATATATATATATATATATAGATATATATACACACACACATACATATATTATATTCTGACTCTGAAAATGTAATATCTGTCTTGAAAATATAAAAGTATAACAATTAGGAACCATATTTATATGTATGTATATACATACATATACACATATGTAAATGCACACACCTTAAAATATCTATTTGTATTTTTTTAAATATTACTACTACTTCACAATGCATAAACATTATGCTTTCTTAGGCTCCCTGTCCATACAGCTGTTGTATATAAAACTTGTTTCAGTCAAACACATTTTTTTAAAAGTAAAATTGATTTTTAAATAGCAGTCTCTGAAAGAATGAGTCTAGGCGGTTTTTCCAAGGTATGAAATAAACGTTTATCTAAATGAACGGCTTGACTAGAGGATCTTTTATGAATTAAGGTCACATTAATCAATATAAGCAGCACAGGAGGAATGAGGTCTCCCAGGGGCGGTCTCATTACATGGCTTGTAAAGACTGTCCTCCCACAAAAACGACTTTAACACGCCACAAATCAAACGCCAGTTACTGAGCTACTTTGCTTTCTTTTCCCCATCTTGTTTTATAACCCTGTAAACTTAAACATAACATGCAAACATACAGCAGAAATTAAGCACTGCTCCTACTATAAATAAAAGCAAACAGTGCAATGTAACCAGTGAGGATATCAATGTACAGGCAAATATAAGACCTATTTTGTTAACAATTGGCTTTTGTAGCAGATCAAGCATCTTCCCCACAAAATGGGCATTTTCTTGGATACTGGAAAGAAAGAATGGAAATCCTGGTTCCAAGATGTCTCTATCTGTGGACACGCACAAAACAAAGGTCTGACATGGATACCAAACCTCGGAATTTACATAGTTACATAGTTTGTAAGGTTGAAGACCAAGGTCCATCCTGTCCAACCTATGTACAGGTGAAACTCGAATAATTAGAATATCGTGCAAAGTTAATTTATTTCACTAATGCAACTTAAAAGGTGAAACTAATATATGCGAGAGACTCATTACATGCAAAGCAAGATAATTCAAGCCGTGATTTGTCATAATTGTGATGATTATGGCTTACAGCTCATGAAAACCCCAAGAACCCCAAATCCACAACCTCAAAAAAGTAGATTATTACATGCAATCAATAAAACAAGGATTGTACATAGAACAATATCGTACCTCTGAAAAGTACAAGCATGCATATGTACTCAGTACTTGGTTTGGGCCCCTTTTGCAGCACTTACTGCAATTACTTTTGCACGATATTCTAATTATTCGAGTTTCACCTGTATGTGAGTGTGTGTATTTTGCTGGCTTTACAACTTCCCATATCCCTGTAGATTCTGGCATGGATACCAAACCTTGGAATTTGTCTAATCTGATTTGATAAAACTGAGCTAGGAGGGCAGGCCAAATCTCAATTCCAAAGGTGGCCACCTTTAAAATTCTCACTACTCTAGGTACATAAAAATAACCGACCCTTTCATATAGATGCCACATCATTTTGTTACCAATCACAAAGCAGGATCATGTGTGATTCAAACTGGGCTCCCAGTTTACACCTTGTTCAGAAAGTGAACATGACGGCATGTTCCTTTATTCATCTAGTCACATAACTGCTCCTGATATACAACCTACTGCTTAAGTTCTGCTGCTGAAAGTGTATCCTACTATACTGCCCCCCCTCCTAGTTCTGTTGCTGCAAATGGCTCCCCCTACTAGTTGTGATGCTGGAAGTAGCTCATACTATACCCCCTGAGTTCTGCTGCTAGAACTGGCTCCTATCATATGCCTACTACCACAATTCTCTGCAGAATGTTGCTCCCACTCTACTCCCTTGGTATAGTAGGAGACACTTTCAGCAGCAGAACTGATAACCCTCTTAGTTCTGCTGCTGCAAATGGCTCCTGGTATCTCACCTACCCTCTACTAGTATTTCTGCTAGAATTGGTTCCTACTATATACCTTTAGTTCTGTTCCCTACTATATCTCCTACCTCCTCAGTTCTGTTTCCGGATTTACCCATGAACTTGTGTTGCGGAGGTGGAGGTCAAGTCAGAAAAATATATAAATATTTTGATGCTGCAACTACCTCCCTAGGCACCTTCCATGGGTGACATATGGTTAATATGTATTAAAAAATGGCCTAGGGGTATTCACAAACAGGACCAGGACCATGAATACAAAAGGTTACATCAAACTCTGCTTAGTTTGATAGAGACACAACTGCAAACAGTAGGAGCAACAAAATTGAGGACAAAAAGTCCCAGTAGAGATCTGACTAAGTGTAGTATTTTATGGTGCAAAGCTCCAGATATGTTTTTGATCAATATTACTCTGCTTAGTGTTCAGGTAGAAGATACTAGGTACGATGGTTGGTATTTCATGCACAACTAAAGGATAGTGCGTGGCAAAGACAAAAGCTCCTATAACAGCATCGTTTGGTGTGTGTGTTCTATACATAAATAATTTGTATTACACATACTATTCCTCCACTATCTGGAAGGTTAGATCCAAAGGTTTTATAAATGGTACTAAGTGTGTATGGTAAAATCCCTCATTTTGTAAAGTGCTGTGCAAACTGATGGCGCTATATAAATCTTGTATGATAAAAATGATAATAATCTATCCAGCATTTCCTGCAGCAGAAATCCCTAAATTGGCGTTTACAAGTGGCAGCTGTCACCTAAGTTAATGATCAGGTGACAGAAGTTGCATTTAAACGCCTGCACAACACATGTAATGATACGGGATATGATTACATTCGGTTAGGAGTCAATAACTCTCCCTGGACGCAATGATTGTGCATTCAGGGAGAGTGTTTTCTAACCGCATGAAATCATATCACATTCCAATACATGCGGTGTGCAGGCGTTTACATGGAGCTGCTATCACCTGAGCATTAACTTGAATAGGTGACAACTGCCACTTGTAAACGCCAGATTAGGGATTCCTGATGCAGTAAAACGCAAGTTTCTGATGCAGGAATCCCTAATCGCACCTAAACCTACAGCTATGGATAGGACCTTATTGTGAGTGTATATTTGTGTCTGTAGTACCAAACTGGATATAGTTATATTTTATTTTAAAGTATGAAATTTGGCAAGCGGCCCCCAAGAGAGAACAAAATTTGTTGAGTGGCCCCTGAGACGGAAGAGGCGGGGGGCGAAGACGGAGCTCCAGTCGGGCGGCGAAGATGACAAGGAGGCCGTGTCGGGCGCCAAGGATGAGGAGGCTGTGTTCCAAAGAGGTCAGGCCGTGCAAGGTCAGAGGACTGTGCTGGCACAGCCCAGCATAGATTCTGTACAGCCCACCAAGTGTGCTGTGCAGTACTCTTTGGTGGGCTCTGCAGGATCCATAGGGGGCTCTGCAGTCTGCAAAGCCCAGCACAGATCCTGCACAACCCCCCCTGAGATCCTGCAGACTGCAGGGTGTCAGGGGGTCTCTGCAGGGTCTGTGGGACTATCCACTGCTAGACAAGCGTCATGCCATGCCCACAGAATAAACACGTCTTCTCAATGTAGAAAGAACATCTTTAGTTATAAGTATAATTTTTAATATTACAATACATCAGTCTAGGGTGAAGTGGGTCAAATAGAACAAAGCCTACCACTAGGTATGGCAAAGTATTACTGGCTTCTTAAAGCTGAAGAATACCTACAGTTTACATTCATTGTTAAAGGTTTGCGGGCTAACACATACAAATAAATCCAGAAACTATACGTCAGTCGGTATAACCAGCTCTGTAATTTTAGTCTGTATTTGTGCTATAAAAATCATTGGTTCTAAATCCGTTATCCACAAGATCACAAATTAATCACTTGCATGATTCTTAGCATTGTCTAACAGAAAGGAATCAATAAGCAACAGAACATTCTGCTCACCAATGAAAAGTCTTGAAGTAGATGCAAACCCTAACTAAATGACATTTAATTTTCCCCTTTTTCAGCTCAGTCCTGCTGATCTCTTACAGCCTCTTTCATCCACTTCCTGCCTAGATGCACTCACCCCACCGTCAGCTGCACATCACTGCTTTTCTTGACAGTGACAACAGTGGACCGGTTCTGTGCAATGTGTGTCAGTACTAACACTTGTAATCTCCACCAGCATAATGCAAGGTCACAACACAACACAATTAGAAGACAGAAAGTGCTTGAACAAGGCCCTTCTTGGCAAGATCACCAAGCATTCTTCTCAAGAACGCTGCAGATTTAAAAAGATAGAAAACATTTTTTGAAATGACAATACCATGTTAAAGCTTCTATGAGATTTCATTGATTGGATTCAGATCTACAACTGCCTGAGCTATTAGCCCAACAACTCTGTATGCTGGACTAACACTCTACACCACCATCTATTCGTTTTACAGTCTGCCCACTATCCCAAC